TGTGGCAGTAGAAAATGCTTAGACTAGAATTATTGTATTTAAAACGCAGTACTAAGCTGAAGTTATACTTTATTTTCTTTATAGGCCTACACGCAGGTCATTAGAATGAGGATAAATGTCGACTGTTTAATAGAGCAATGCAGTGACAATGACGTTAATACCTAGCAAGGAAATTAAGGAATGTAGGGTTACAACGTGACAAAATGTTTATTTTAGTGGATAAGGTGTGGCTTCTAAATATTGATGCAGCTTGTATTTGAGGCATGCTTGTTCTACAACTGTATTTCGAGTGCAAACGATAGAGGTGTATTATTTGCTTCAAGTATTATTGATTTGAATTATCTAGAGTATAAATTCTCTAAAGAGAACGCATTGAAATTACTGAGATTATTTTGTCGTAACGTTGTTATGTCATGTACAGTCTCTATTTATATTGTTCTATGTGTATTGTAATGGTTAGTATCTTTATTTGTAATATTTATTTACAGATCGAATAAAACCAAATATATCGGTTCAAGGCAGGACGCAAAGTTTTGGTTCCCTTTCTCGACTGTTCACATACTGTCTGTCATTCTACTCACTGTCTCTGTAAAAACTGGCTGAATGACTGTTGATTTTGTAAACGGTGCTAACATAGTCATAGATACACTGTGCCATGTATTATGTATGGTGTGTTTTATGTGAAGTGTTTATTTGCAGATAAGCCATACGGCGCGAAAGATGTGCGTCTGCACGAACTGAAATGGGACACAGTAATGCACAGTTGTTTAGTGCGCCCCCTCGTCAATGAATCACACGGTCAGTTTATGTCACCGTGTCACATATTTTTGCAAATTCTTATCGCCGGACATTGTGATTTACAATCGACTTGAACCGTAGCATGCAAATGTGCTTCAGTACTTAACCATAGAAATAGATAGTGCTGTCACGCAAGTTGACCATAATTTTGAAGTAACGGCTATCAATCTAATCGTTGTAATAACATCTTTAGTTAGCATCTTCTAATAAATGCAGGAAAATTTATATGAAAGTTGCTGCACCTATGGGATCTCTACCAATAATTGTATGATTTTATTGCAGCCATTTTTATGAGTCTTCAGTCAAAGCGGCTTGCAGTGGGAGAGACAGGAACACGGCCTGAGTAAGTCAGGGCAAATAATCAATGTCTGTGTATAATATTATGCGCTCTTACTTGTGCTGTAATAGAGCTAAGGTACACGAAAATATACATGTAGTTACTAATGGGATCCAGACTTGAGATCGTGCCTAGGCACTTCCAAAGCAGTCTCAATTTTAGAGAAATACTGCGATCGGTATCATTGGAACGCGTGGGGCCGACAGTACCGCCATCTAGTGGAGAATCATTTTCAGGTTGGTAAAGTTCAGCAGAGGTTACCGTTCGGTGATTCACGCTTGCATACTCGAATTGAAGAAGGCTGGAAACTCGACACTGGACGAAGAGGAGGCAGCGGAACATGCAGCTCTGGTAGGTTCATGGTGACTTCTTGTAACGATGGGGGTGGTATTCACTTGAGCAATCTAATCACAGAGCTGTGCTTGCATTTACCCTGCTAGAAACTCATTGTTAAGTTGGGGTAAATAATAAGGATTCCATGATATCTCGTTAGGGTGTATATTCGCTGTTTTATCATCTTTCAGAGTTGCTTATTCTACGAAACGGATCTCGTCTGGAGCATTTGTGAGATATTTTTCATCGAGCAAACACCAGGTGTGTGTGTGTTAGATGTGTGTGATGTGTGTTGTCTTTATCGTCAGTGATGCATGAGTGCAATGGATGCTTTAAAAAAATCCACGTTTATTGGAAACGTTAGGCTAATAAGCGGCTCTATGTTTAAAATTAAGGTTCAGGCCCTTCTGCTAACTGGCATTTTACGTGTCCCTTTATGATGAAGTCTCGATGTCCAAACTTCAATAACATCATATTTTGCAGAGCGGAGTTATGTAGCATACTTGCTACGAAAATGTCAGCGACCTAACACCAGCCTAGACCTAATCCCAATCTACACCTAACCCCAATCTAGACCTATCTCCAGCTAGACCTAATCCCAACCTAGACCAAATCCCAACCTAGACCAAACCCTAACCTAAACCTGAACCTAAGCTAAACCTTAAATTGACTACATCACAAATTTTCTATGGTAAAATTGTTGTTAAATTTTTGTTGCCATTTTTTTACATTAAAAGTAAGAACTAACTTGACTAAACGTATCGTCAAATTATTACCTGATAAGATGAGTTTCTCAACTAGTTAAAAATCTAAAAAACCTGGACGATTTGATATTAGTGTTCCTACCATTATTTTCTTGCTATGGGCTATGTATGAGTCACGAGTGTATGTTCACATCGAACAATATAGTAAAATAAGAAATATAATGCAGCAATTTAACCATAAAAAGTAAACAGAATTACTTATATTTTGTGGGAAAGTGGATTTTTTTTAAAAATTATTTACGGTGACATAATCACTAACCTAACTAAACCCTGATGCTAATGCATTTTTTCTCCCGTAGGTGGCGTGATCCTGCCCAAGTTGTTGGAGTGGGTGCGCTGGCACTTTCACCGCGGAGAGCAGTTGCTGCAGGAACTACTGCAGTCGGTTCACGACGAGGAAAGTACGATCAAACCAGAGCTTCACGAGAACTACTGGCCTGCTGTAAGTCTACATTGCTTACACATATTAGAAACGAATCTATTCGTACGGATCAGATTATTAGTTATTATTATGAAATCGTTAATGCATGTAATTCAAATACAAATTAATACGTACTGAAGATACATGACAGGGCATGAAATTCAGATTTTTTCGCACCGGCCCCAGAGGGCTGGCAACAGCAATTTTTTACCAGCCCTACCATAATTTACCAGTCTTCACAAATGTATTTTTTTCTCAAAAATAAAGATAAGACTGTTTCACTGACTCTTGCTTGTAGTGGGCGGCATCGCGTAGTCGCTGTTGAACAGACTATAATGCAGATCGTGAATGATGTCCGAAGTGTTTTTGTCAATGTAATGTTTCACGCTTGCATTCTCGATGTCAAATTTGTAAAATGTTGATAAATTATGGCGTGATATCCTTTAGGTAAAACAGTATTGTAGGCTATTTGCCCATTAATGTTGTAAATATAAATGTAGGCACTCGCTAACACGGCTAAAACCACCGGTTCGGAGGACCAGTGTTTTGCCAATGTTACTGGCCAACAGAAAAATTTATTTGTATAAATTAAATCTATCTGCAGTTACTTTTTAATTAAATTAATATGATTATATGAAATACGATCAGGTAGGCCCTACACGATTTGACTTACAAAGGGTACACTCTTATAACCAGAAAAAAATTTCGTATAAATCAAATCTATCTGTAGTCACTTTTCAATTAAGTTAATATGATAATTATCTCATGTGCCAACCTGCAAACCGTATTGTAGAGATTAAGACGGGGCGTGCACCCACGTATAGCTTTCTTTTTTTAGCGACAGCGACATTGTGTTTGCGTGAGTAAAGTTTTGCCGTTGTTTGATCGCAGGTGTACAGCTTTGTGCTCCAGGGAAGATTGGTGGAAGCCCGCAAGCTCTTGAGTCTACATCTGAAATACAAGTCAGAGCCATTCCAGAGCATGGGAGAGCTCCTGTGCAAAATGCCCATCTACAATGTTAGTCTGCGTTCGCTCGCGTGCAGTGCCAAAATGTCGGAGACATGCTGTTAGTGTTAATACCTTGTAAGATTAATGTAAGGCAGCCATGCCTGTATCCACACGTGGCTAAAAAAATCACATGGCGATGCCTGTATTTCTCCTCGATGACTGCTTGGTAGGTCTCTTCTTGGGGTTGTCTCAGTCGGTGAGATTTGGCGCAATGGTTGCTATGATCTGCCCAGGTTTTGCAGATTGGATGGTGCAGTAGATTAAGTTAAGCCACAATTAAAAAAATCTTTGTTTGCCCTCACCTGAACCAGGCTGAAATGTTTGGGTAGGTAGACTTTTTTTCGAGGGGGGTCTTTTTATAAATTCAGCATGGTGACTACATGCTCGGGTGCGCTTGTGTGGAGATACCTTTTATGTTGAATGTTTGTTTTGCTTGGTACATATAATGCATTGCCTACAGATTAATATAATGTACAGTGATACAATTTGAAAAAAATAATGGGAAAGATCAATAAATATTTTTGAGTCGGCCCCTTTTTGGTGGGTCGGTCGGGTGAGGGCAAACAAACAATATTGTTATTATGGCAGTACCTGTTGGTTTTGACAGCTATGTAAACTTACCTGTTGGTTTTGATAGGTATCTAAACTTGCCTGTTTGGTTTTGATAACTATCTGAACTTACCTGTTGGTTTTGACAGGTATCTGAATTTAACTATTGGTTCTCGCAGGGCTTGACAGGTTGTTCGGTGCAGGAATTTGAACTGACCTGGCAACGCTGGCAGGACGAATGCTATCGCAGACTTGAGGATGGGGAATTCATCACATACAAGGAACTAGAGACAGTTGCCAAGGTTAGTGGCAGTACAGACGTCCAAAAGTCCGGACTGCTTGGGGGTTGGGTCAGTCCGGATTTTCGGATTTTCTGAATTTTCGGGCAGTACTTTTAAAATTCAAATTTAAGGTGGAATAAAGAAGAGATGATTGATGAACAGGCAAATTTTGATAATTTATTCATGAGCAAATACAGCATGCGCATTTTCATGAGCATGCTTCATTTATCAAAACGAGCAGTTTTAAAGAAAAATAAAGTCGACACTTGACAAAAGTAAACTACGTGTTTACGTCTGTAGATTCTGTGCGGGGACGAGGGAGTGTTCGTCGACATGAAGGACCAGTGCGAGACGTGGTACCACATGCTCATCAGCAGGTTACTCTACACGAATCCAGCCGTCAAGGGTCTGGAGCTGCAGTATCACACGCAGGTGGGGTGGCATCCCTCCCCCTCCTTCTTCCCCTCCTCCCCCTCTCACTCTCCCTCTCCCTCACTCCTCTACCTCGCGCGTGACGAGGCGTGGCGATGGGGGGAGGAGGATGTGTGCGTGTGTACGTGTGTGTATGTGTGTGTGTGTGTGGGTGTGCGTGCGTGCGTGCGCGCGTGCTTGACGTTCGTTGCTGTATGACGCGTAGTTCTCGGTTGGCGACGAGCGACGATGTCACCTACATGTTGCTCTGTGTTTGCGCAGGCATGCATCGACGCCTACGGCGGCAACTTGCAGCTAGGCGCCGTCGACCACATCCTGCTCAGCGCCATCGAGTACGACGTCTACCAGGTCATCAGCGACAGCAGGTGATCCACAGCAGGTGGCGCCACTTGCCGGGCCTCGTCTGCGCGGAGGGCGTCGTCGAGAAATGGATTTTCGATTTGTGTTGTAATTGCGTTCTCGTGGATACATGCGTAGATTCATGAAATTTAAAAAGGATTTAATTTAATGTTAAAATTTTCATGGGGTTCGGGAATTTTGAAAAGGGAGAGCTGGCCTGTCTGTCTCCATGTGCTTTACGTCTAGTGTGGTGCGAGTTGAGTGTCTGTTCTGAATTTTAGGTCAACTATTTTTTTATCCTTGTTTTGATCCGTGATGTGATTTCGATTTCGTTTGATTCCACTTTTCGTAATACTGTCCCCGTCTCTCTCCTTCTTCCTAATCTCTTCTCTCTCTCTTTCTCTCTCCCTCTCTCTCTCCCTCTCTCTCTCCCTCTCTCTCTCCCTCTCTCTCTCCCTCTACCTCTCTCTCCCTCCCTCTCCCGGCCTCTGGTCCTCCCGCCTTCCCTGTCTCCCCCTCTCCTCTCTCTCACGCTATCTCTCCCCTCCCTCTCCCCTCTCTCCCCCGCTCTCCCTCCTCTCTCTCTCACGCTCTCTCTCTCTTTCTCCGCAGCACGCACCTGAGCTGGTGGTTCGCGGCCCACCTCACCGACCTGCTGCGTGCGGCGGGACAGCTGGACGACGCGGCGGCGCGCCCTGCCCAGGGCGGCGCTGCCGGAGCGTGTGACGGCGATCTCCGCGAGTCGCTGCTTCTCGACTACGCCGCGAGCCTGACTGCGCACCCCAGCCTCTGGCGCGTTGCCGCCGACTACTTCGACCACTGTCCGCAGTACGGCAGGTGCGTGCGCCGACGCCGCGTGGCCGTAGGTGGCGCCACGCGACGCGCGAGGTCGCCGGAGTGCGCGAGGTCGCCGGAGCGCGCGAGATCGCCGGAGCGCGCGAGGCGTTCCAATTTTTGCGTGGCGGCACCAATTTGGTGCCTGACCGTAGGTGGAGCCACTTGTCACAAAATCTTCGTACGTGATCGATCGATCTTTCGTCGATTTTGCGGGTATGCCGCGCTGCTGTTGGATATCCGCCGAGCGCGAACAGATCGCTTCGTTTGGCGGCGTTGCGCGCATTGCATTCGACGGAGACGCGATTCGGCTTTAATAAGTTAACGTAATTAAACACAGTTCATTAAGAAGTTTCATAATATCATAAATTTTCATTTTTAACGAGCGGAGAGCGTGTTTGCAGGCACTACCTGGAAAGATACTTGGAGCGGATTCCGCTAGAAACGGAACGGAAGGCGCAGAAGGTCATTCGGATGTGTGAGGAGAGAGAGATGACAGAACTCGGTAAGCGCATGCGCGGTGGGGAGGTGGGGGGTCGCTCGGGGAATTGCCTTGAAGCGCACGCCCACGTTCAATCGCCTGAAATTGATGAAATTTGCGGCAATTCTTCTTCTACAGCACGTATCAGGTGTAAAAACCGTGTAACTGGCAAGTAAATAGTAAAGCTGTCTCCCATTATGTTTCGTCCTTTTCAGCGTCCAGCATTTGCAAAGTCATGGGCATGAGAGCTTTTCACGAAGGCCAGTTGGGGTCAGCACTGTCGTGGTGTTTGCGTTCTAAAGACGCCAGTTTTGCTGCGTTTATCTCCGACAAGTACGTAATTGTATATCTAAGCTTACCCTTCTCCTGTGAAACATATATATATACACACATACAACTGAATCGTGGTGCCTTACGTGAGCAGATGAATCTATATATGTATTTCAAGGTTGTACAGTGTAGCCCCGTTATAACGCGATGGTTGGGGTCCATAAAATGTCATCGCAAAAAAAGCGGGGGTCGCATTATATCGGGGTTATATATACATGGCTATATAAGAGCGAAAAAAAGGGGTCCAACGACTCATCGCATTATATCCGAATTCGCGTTAAATCGGGCCGCGTAAAATCAGGGTTCCACTGTATCTTGCACTTGTAATCACCTCCACCCGGGGGAGGAATCGCAAATGTTCGCGTGGTGACCGTGGCTGTCGTTGCAGGTTTCTCTCGGGGCACATGGAGCGGGGCGACCTCTCGCACCTCGACATGCTGGACAATCTCGGACCGAGCACGCTCTTCAGCAGCAGCCTCACGTTCCTAGGTACGTCGCCGCGACGACGCGATCATTGGCGCGACGATGCGACGGTATAGATCTAAGCCTTCTGATTTATCGATTTCTGATTTATCGATTTCCGATTATCTGTTCAGTAGCAGCCTCACGTTCCTAGATACGTCGCCGCGACGACGCGTGACACTGTCGCACGTCGCCACGACGACGTAATCGCCGCAATGACGACCAACAATATAGATATATCTAAGCCTTCTCCTCTTGCGAAACCCAACATAAACGTATATACAAACAACAGACAACATACAACTACAACACATACAACTGAATCGTTATTCCTTACATGAGCAGATGAAATCTGTATGAAGTTCAAGGTCGAACTTAAACGACAATTGAAGTCAAATTTTCCAACTTCTGTAACGTTTTTATACATAGAAATACATTCAATAACGTATTCCATTTCAAATCCGGTGCCCAATTAGTAATAAACACCTGAATAGTAATCTAGGTTATGTGACGTCACAGCCCCAAGTTGAGCGACGCCATTATGTAAACATAGTGTGTGCGATGGTTAAATATTCGATGTTTTTTGTTATATCTCATGCTTATTTATCATGTCAAGACACAAACATGTAGCCTGTAAGTGTACTTATATTCATGTACATACATATTACCTGTGTGGATAATGCATTCACGATATATGTACATGACTTGCGTAGATACATGTACATGTACAGATACATGTGATTCTGACCGAGCGTGATAAGCCCGGTGATCAGTGTACTCACATGACTCGAACTGGTCCAGATGAGACGGGATACTAGAGAAGCGTTGCCGAAAGAAGGTGTTGACCCGAAGTGCTGAGCGCAGATCTTGCGCGCAGTTCCGCGGCAAGGCGCACGCGACCGCGGGAACGTCCTACGACAGTATGCAGCGCTGGCAGCTATGGATCCGTGCGCCGAATCGCAGCAATCTGGGCACGGGTGCATCACTGCCCTCG